ACCAGCTCTCAGTCCCTCTCTTCCCCTGAATCTAGAGTCCTCAGCTGCTCCCTCTTTCCATGTCCCCATCTCTGCCTCCATCTCTGGTGTCACTGCTTCTCTGGAAAAGGTCACACATTCTGGTTGTGATCTTCTGCTTTGATGGTCCTAGGGTTTCTGGACTGGAAGATTAACTACTCCCTCGTTTTTGTTACAAAACTTCTACCTTTACAATTGTGACAGTTGCAATTACCAGGATAACAATTACTCACTACTGAATCATAAGAATCTTATCCCCATCTCTTTTCACCAGACCCATCTAGACAAGATGAAAACTATTCAGTGGGGACTCTTTTTTTCCTTACATATTATTAAACTAAACTCCCCTTTAAAACCTTGTAAGCCAGTCACTTTGTGCCTTTATCACCCTCTCATTTTAGGTAGCCACTGTCTAAGTTGCCTATCCCTATCTACCCTGTGTGCAGAGGGGACAGCATTGATACTTGATGTGACTTAAGTAGATTCTTGACTCAGCAACCATATAGCAAGACTGAATCATTTATTCAGGTGTTTTTAATTTAGCAAACACTAGGGCTCTGACCTAAGAGATTTTAGCAGAGAAATGTCAAGGTCATCAGAAATTAAGTCTTTTATGATTGTCTTTCACATGGACTATAAATCTCTAACTGATCTTCTGACTTTCACTCTAGGCTATCTCTGCAGAGAAGAGTTTTTTGTTTTAATCAAATTAATCAAATTTGTTTAAAAAAAAATTACCTAAAATCCTCCAATACTTTCCATTGCACTTAGAATAAACTGCAATTGCTTTCTTGGCTTACAAAGCCCTGTTGTTTCTGTTAAGTGCCGCTGAGTCGGTTCTGACTCATAGGGGCCCAGTATAGGATTTACAGGAGCAACTGGTGAGTTTGAACTAACAACCTTGCACTTCAAAGCGACCTTGGGGTCTTGTGCTTGACCTACAGTGCCACATCAGGCCTCCTTACAAAGCCCTACAGGAATATTACGTGTTCACCTCTCCTAGCTCATTTCCTCTTACATTCTAATTTTTCTCTCCCCAAAATTCATTGACATAGGTCCCAATTTTGAAACTTGGTTGTTAGTTGTTTGCTGTGCCTGGAAGCTCTCTCCTATGATTTTTACATTGTTGTTTCTCAGATTATTGCGTATACAAATCCTTTTCTCAAGGACCTTACCAACATCATTCTATCATGTAATTGTAATTTCTCGCCTAACGCCTAATACCAAAACGTACTTTCTCCCCTTAGCTCCCTGGAACTTATATTGTTTTCATCAATGCTCAATGAACTCAACTTATAGTTGTGCTTTACCAATCGGGCTGCTGATCTCAAGGGAAACTACCAGCTGTTCGAGGGAGAAAGATGAGGCTTTCTGCTCCCTAAAAGATTTACAGCCTCGGAAACCCTGTACAGGGTCACTATGAGTCGGAACCGACTCCACGGTACTTAACAACAACAGGTGTTAGGAGCTCAATACAAATTAGAAATGAATATACCTATGAATGCATCTCCCCTGCCCCTGTCCGGACTCATATCTTATCTAGTATTTATACCCTTGAGGAATGAGTGCTCTGGTTAATGCAACCTCACTGAGCCGGTCCTTCCGATCTTAGGGAAAACAAAAAGCTTTTCATCTTGGGCATCTGAGGTCATGGCTTCACTTTCTGATTTCGATACCACATAAGCACAAAGAGGTGAGCATTAGGGCCTAGGAGCTCCTGATGCTAATTCCTGCAGTTCCGATAGGGCCTAGAAGCTGGAGAGCTGTGAGTGGTCCTCCTTGGAGATGCAGGGAGAAGGGGCGGAGCCATCCCCCTAAAGGATGGGCCTTACTTGGACCTTCAGATCTGGTGGGGCTGCCGCTTTGGGAAGCACTCGGATCTTCAGAGGAAAACAGAGTTGGCCTTGACGGTATGATGTCCAGCCGGCCTCAGGCGGTAAGACTAAGGGGTCTAAAAGGAAAACACCAGGCTTGAAAGCAGACCTGCGAAGTAAGCTCAGGACTGATTATTTTGCCAGAGGAAAGGGTTAAACCGTTTCCAAGACAACAGACCAGGAAGCGCGCAAGACGTTCCCCGCAGGTTCGTAGGTCAGCTTCCAGTTAAAGCTCCCCTGGTCGAATGAGTTCTGGCCAATGGGGAGAACACTTAGGAGTCACATGATTGGTGGGGCCCTGATCCGCTAGCTGTCCTAGAGCACGTGGGAAGGCTTTTCCTTGTTGCTTTTGTTTTTTTTTTAAAGCCCACCCACTTTTGCGCGGGCTTGCTTACAGTGTTGCTCTCGCGAGAGGCTAACCATTCTCTCGCGAGAGTGAGTGGGAGGCGTGGGGAATAGGCAACATCTCGGGCTGGAGCTGCTGCTGCGGAAGGCGCGGGGGTGGGCAGGGCCCGGTAGGGCTGCGGGTGGGGAGGGGGGAGGGCTGGGGGCCGTGCGGGAGGGGCACTTGCCTGCCTGCCTAGCTCGCGCTGCAGGTCGTTGCGGACCGGTGACATGCCTATGAGCTGCGGAGGCTGTGGCCCCCAGGTGAGCCGATTGCAGACCCCACCGCGGTGTAAGGGTGTTGGTAGTGGAAGCGGCGATGTGGGGCCGGGAGGGATGGACGGCTGGGCCCGGGCGCTTCAGCCCTTCTGTGCGCTGCCTCTGCTCCGGGTTCGGGGCCACTGAACTGCTGCACCTTCGCACAGCGGAGGTAGGAGGGCGGGAGGAGCAGCCTGGGGGGCAGAAGCCCTAGGTTCTGGGCCGTGGAAGAGTCCTTGAGACAGGCAGGTGTACCTGGGATCCGGGCTGTGGCGGTGCAGCTGCCATCCCTTTGGATGACAGCTTCAGTTTCTGTCCCGGGAGCGTCCTGAGTTTGTGTTCCTGGTTTGAGCAGGAGGGCATTGCATTTTGTCCCTAGACAGCATCCTCACTGTCGGAGCACTTGGGCATTGCAAACAGTCACAACCGAAACCTTGTGACAAGCAGCTCCTTAGAGAATTGATTGATATTTGGATTTGACGTGAAATTCTCTCATAAACTGTTAATGGCTTAAATGCTAGGTACCCAGTATTTCAAGGAGCCCTGGTGGCGCAGTGCTTCAGCACTCTGCTGCTAAACGAAAGGTCAGTGGTTTGAACCCCACCACCACTGCGTGGGAAAAAAATTAAGCGGCTTGTTTCAGTAAAAATTTACGGCCTTGGGAATCCTATTGGGCAATTCTACTCTATCTTATTGCTGTTAAGTGCCATCAAGTCGTTTCCAATTCATAGTGGCCCCGTTTAGGGTTTTCAAGGCTTTTAAAAGCCTTTGTGAGAGCAGAAAGTCTCTTCTTTCTCCCGCTGAGCGACTGGTGGGCTCGAACCTCCCACGTAGTGGTTTGACATTGTGGTTCGCAGTCCAGTGTTTGTCCAGTAGGGTTGCTATAATGGGAGAATTCTACTCCCGGGTAATTTGAACTCCACAGTAATCGATTTGGGTTTATCCAGTGTTCTATGTAGGTTGGGTATCCTATTCCAAACATAAAATAATGTAGATGTAACCCAAGTTGTGTTTTTTTAAAAACTTTGATGAAGTAATAAAGACAGTAAAATCTAAGCCATTGCAGTTATTGAACATGATAGCATTTTCCCCCCTTCTATCTGTCGCTTAAGTATAGCCTGGAGGTGGTTCAGCATAAAATGTTATGAAATTTCAGGATGAGAAATACTGTGGAGACCCACACCTAAATGGCCTTAGAGCAAACTTGAGTTAAAAATGCTCATTCTCTTTTCAGTTTTGTAATACCTTGCAAAAACACTTAAGTTTTCCTTAACTCCTTTCTACCATGTTAGGAATGTTGGCCTGACCGATACTGATCTTGATGTCAGAAAATACTTAGAAAATGCAAAGTACTCAGAAAACATAAGATCCTAAGAAATGCAAAGATGTTTTGTTTTTTTTTAAATGTTTTTATGATTTTAGAGAAAATGGCAGCATGATTAGTGTCAATTAAAAGTGTTTGTTATTTAATGACCATTTCATAGTATGCAGCCACATTAATGAAATAATACCCTGTACTATTTGTTCCTTAAGTACTATGTGCCTTGAGGCAAAAAATGTGACTTCAGAATTGGCTGAAATTCATGATTAATTGTAGGTATGAGTAGCAGTAATTTATGAAGGATTAGAGTGTATTGAAACATTTTGAAAAGGATAGTGGTAATTGTTGAGCAGTATGAAACATGGAAAAAATGTTGAAGTACTTGTTTTGTTATATATATGAGGGGGCTTCAAAAGTTTATGGAAAAGTGGAATTAAAGAGAATGGAATTTTCCTTGAATTTTTTTTAAGCTTCCTTGTATACTTGCCACAATTAAAAAAAGAAAAAAGGATGGGGTGGGGTGGGGTGTGGGGAAAAGTGTAAGAGAATTGGAATTTGTGAGACCCAAGCTGAATTAGTAACCAGTGTCTAGTGTATGGACTTCTGGTATGACACTGTAGGATCATCACTGGACTTCAAACCCACCTGCTGATCCTTGGAAACCCTGTTCGGCATCCATCGCTGTGAGGCATTTAACAGCAGCAACAATAACCTAGTGTGTATACAGTACAGTTTCTGCACTGTTAACTACAGTTAATAGCTGCATTGATAACCACACTATTGATAAGGATGGTGCCACACTTCTAGGCCAGTGATCTTTCCCAGTTATTCTGAGTATTGTTGTTAAGAGCCATCAAGTCGATTCTGACTTATAGCAACCCTGTATAGGGTTTCCCAGAAGCAGATGGTAGATTTGAACTGCTGACCTTGTGACTGACAGTTTAGTGTTAATCCTACAGTGCCATACCAAGAGTCCCGCATCAGAGTATAGAAGTTGTTTAAATCCAGAGCCGTGGTGAGAAAATTTCCTCTGAACTCCCAGAAAGTTAAAGAGTACTCCTTTGTCTTTTGAGGTTAGAAGACAAAGAAGGCTTCTCACTAAATGTGTCTATACGAGGATAAGTAAAACATATTGCTATCAAGGTTCCAGTTCATACATAAATGGGTTTATTGCAAATGAAACGTGTTTAAACATGTATCTGTAATCAGTGGATGGCTGTAGATAAGTCCTCTCAGTATAGTCTTCTTAGTGTGCCTTCAAAACAAAAAAAGGTCTAATCAAAACAATGGCTTCTTAGGGAATCTGCTGGGCCAGTTAAAAATTAGCTCAGAGAGTATGGCAGCTGTTTTTTGGATTCCTAAGAGGACCCTCGGAAACCCTGTACAGGGTCGCTATGGGTCGGAACCGACTCGACGGCACGTAACAACAACAACAACAAGAGATCATTTTGATGGATTTTCTTGAAAGACCCAGGATGATTGCAAGGATTTATTAGGAAGAACTTTTCAGAAAATTGAAAACTGTATTGATTAGAAAAAGGCCAAGAATGTTTCATTGAGTAATTTTTCCCATTGCAGCAATGCATCTGCTCATTCTTCAAGGGTAGCAAGGGCTGTCCTACCAGAATTCCATTGGGAAACCTTACCCTTACAGCCTTGATCTTCTCCAGACTCTTTTGTTCTCAAAACTCAAAGAACATTGGAAAGGAACTTGATTTGAGTCACTTGAACATGCCCAAACTGGTGTTTTGACGTAAATCAAAGAGCACAGAATTTTTCAGGGGAAGGCTAGAGCAATGGAAACACCCCCTTCAGAAGTGTATAGACCTAGATCGAGGATTTGTCAAGAAACAATAGCTCACATTTTAATACCTTTATTTAATAAAGATTTCTATGACTTTGTAGCAATACTTTTTTGACCTACTTTCTTATAAAAACACACACACACATACACATGAGGGGGTTTTCAAAAAGTTTGTGGAAATATACCTATATCTTTTAATTCCATTTTCTAGTTGTTTGAAACACCCTAGTATAATGTGCCTAGTTGGTGTAGTGGTTAAGTGCTCAGCTACTACCTGAAATGTTGGCAGTTTGAACCCACCAGCTGTTTGCAGGAGAAAGATGTGGCAGTCTGTTCCTGTTAAGAACAGCCTTGGAAACCTTACAAAGAAATTATACTCTGTCCTTTAATTGCTATGAGTTAGAATCCATTTGATGGTAATGGGTTTGGTTTGGTATATATGTGTGCATGTGATATATACACATATATATGAGAGAGAGATAAGAGTGTGTGTCCTGGTGTGGTACTGTGGGTTAATGCACTGGACTGCAAAGTCAGTCTGAACTGCAAGGTTGGCGGTTCAAGCTCACTAGCCGCTCCTCGGAAACCTTTTACAGTGTTGTTATAGGTTGAAACCAACTCGTTGGCACTAAGCAACAACATGTATGTATATGTATCTGTCTGTCTGTCTGTCTGTATGTATGTCTTGGTGTGGCTCTGTGAGTTAATGCGCTGGACTACAAGGTTGGTTTGAACTGTAAGGTTGGTGGTCCAAACTCGGAAACCCTATGCAGGGTGGCTATGAGTCGGAACTGACTCAATAGCACTTAACAACAACAACACACACACACACACACACATGTGTCAGAGTCTTGGTGTGCAGTGGGATAAACACTGGTCTGCTAACTGTAAGGTCTGCAGTTCAAACCTACCAGCTGCTTTTTTTGTGTGTGAATTATATGATAGTTTACATGAGAGAACTTTAGTTTTACATTCATTCCATCATCTATTGTTTCATTGCCATGGTTCCGATCCCCTCCATGCATCATTAACTGATCAAAGGGTATACCCTACAAACCCGCCCCCTGCATCCCCCCTCCCCCACAAGTCTTCAGCACACAGTCCCTCTCCCTCTCTGGATCCAAAGTCCCCAGCCGCTTCATCACTCCATGTCATTGTCTCTGCCTCTATCTCAGGCATCGCTGCTTCTCTGGGTAGGGTCCCGCTCTCGGCTCTTCTCCGTTGACGGTCCTAGAGACCTCCGCTCCTAGACTGTAGAATTATTCACTCCCTTCCTTGCTACAAAATGTCTACCTTTACATTTCCAGTCCTTACAATCAGTCCTGATACAATTATTCACTATAGTATCACAAGTGACCCATCTGCATTTCATTTTATCAACTCCGCCTAGACAGATTGGATAGTA